CCATCAAATAAATTTAGTTCTATGTGGGATAACACACACATGCACTTTTCTCAACAACCTCCCTCTCATGTGTGTGTTTACCGAGCTTCCTCTCGAACTAAAGTTTCAAGTAGCCGACACATCCAACCATCACACTCTTAATGGGAGCTAACTTGAGCATGGAAAAGAGAGCCAAAACCATACGAGTCCACTATATGATCCACCATCCGCACTTGTAATTGCAACTAAGTGTGATCGCTTGACTTGAACGAACCATCGGCTCTGTTACCACGTATCGGGGAGACACCACATGCGTAACTGGCTCAACACACTTCAAGAGCCTAACTTAACCCAAAAGGTTAACCTATTAAATCTTGAGTCTTTACATGTATATAAATTATTTCATATTTTTATCTATTTTTCATGTAGGATAACACACACATGTACTTTTTCAACATTATATGCATATGAGATGGTACTTTTACAAGTTTTGTCAACTTTTTCGGTCAACTCATCATCTACATGCAATGCATATTGATAAAAAGAAGAACATTGCAGTTAATTCTGTACCCAAAAACATTGATATTTGTTAAAAAATAGACGCCCTTATTCCAAAGTAACAAAACCAATAAAATCGTTGAAGAAAATATAAACAAAGAAACTCAAGATTTATAAAGGTTTACTCTTAAGGCCTCGTTCACTTCACCGATTCGAGTTTTCAGTTTTAAATTTTTACAGTAAAAAATTCTTAAAAAATGTCACATCTCAACTCGAATTGAAAACTCAAATTCGCGAAATGAACGAGGCTTTAATGTAAGAGTTACAGCTACTTTCAGCCCTAATACTCTCAGGAGGGGCATTCTAGCCCCTTCTTCAAATTCCAAAATAACATTATTACCATTAATGTCGATCCGTGTATTATCTATATCTTATGACAATAATTACTCTCTGTAACTTAACAGTGTTACAAGTATGATGAATGGTTTGATTCACAATATGCCTATGACCTAAAAGGAAAACATAACATATATACAGAGTCCCCGAAAGAGAAGTTCATAAATCCAAATTATCTATTTGGAAGTACATATATGTATTAAAAGCTAATGATCATGACTAACTCACCTCAATAATATATAAAGATAATAAGATATTGTACCTGTTATCAGTAGGGATGGCCCACCAATAAGCCAAAAGTGGCACAAACCAATTCTTAGAAATGACAGATTACTATGTACAAGATTGAGGCCCTTCCTGAAAATCTGCACTGTGTATAATGCGTGGTGGGACAATTTTTTTTTTTTTTTTTTTAAATTGTAATATGAATTTGTCGCCAAGTTTTTGTCAAGTACATCGCAGAAAGCCAGAAACAAACTAATATAAGTGGCGGATGACAAGTCTCTTTCACATCATATATAGAAGTTGTACGTTTGTTGCTTATCTTCATCAAAAACTTTTCATCTTCACGGTAAAATATCAATAAAATGTCTTATAGTCTCACATTATTTAAATACAAATTTAAATATAAATTTAAACACAAAGTTATATGAAAATATTGTGACACTCAATTTAAACAGATTAAACCTAATACCTCATAAAGTGTAATTTTTTTTCTTCACTTCTTTTTTCAAACTCTAATATTCACAACTGAGTTTGTAATTACTAATGACATAGGAATGTCTTTAATACGATGATTTAAAATAAGCCTTTTTTTTTATAGATTCGAATCACAATTTAACATTTTTACTATAGTATTTTCTCTTATAAAAATTTAAATTTTAGTTCAAATTTTTCACTCAAACCTACGAAAAGAACATGAATATCTCCTTCATGAGAAACATGTTAAAAGCTAGCCATGAAATGCAGACAAATTAAATGTCTGATTTGGACAAAGAAAATTATTGAGGGAAAGATTTGGCAAAATGAAACTCAAAGAAAGGTGTTGGAACTCTCTTGTTGCCAAACAATTGGTGACTCCTAACGGAGCACCGTCTTCCAGGGGCATATTAAGGGTAAAATGTCCCAGTCCTATATTGTAGCCATATAAGGATATTAGGTCACCCCATTTAACTAGGTTAACCTTTTAATATAGAAGCCTAATACCTTATAAAGTGCAATTCTTCTCCGTCACTTCTCTCTTCAAACTCAATATTCACGACTTAGTTTGTGATTACTAATGACACATGAATGTTTTCAATGCGACAATTTAAAATGAGCTCGTTCCTTTCATAGATTCGAATCACAATTTAACCTTTTTACTACAATATTTTTTCCCTCTACAAATTTGAATTTTAGTTCAAATTTTGCACTCAACCCTATGAAAAGAACATGAATATCTCCATCATGAGAAACATGTTTAAAGCTAGCCATGAAATGCAGACAAATTAAACGTCTGATTTGGACAAAGAAAAATGGTGAGGGAAAGATTTGGCCAAACGAAACTCAAAGAAAGGTGTTGGAACTCTCTTGTTGCCAAACAACTTTCAACTACTTCCAGTTTGGCATACAAGCAAGAGAACACATAAAATTATGGAACCCCCCAGGCTATCAGATAGAGAATTTATGGTTTTGGGTTTGTCATACGAGTTTCGAAAGTTTAAAGCCAAGGATAAGCACAAGATGTAGAGCCCGAAGTCCAGAGTTAAATATCTGAGGTGCAATGATCACAATAAGAGTTGCGACGGCGACTTCGATCTTCTCAAAAATTTGCAGAGCTCTAAAGTTGGGGAACAGCCCCAAAATAATTCTTAGCAAGAAAAAAAAAATTGTAATAAATAGTATATTTATGAAACTAAATTAAATAAATATCAAAATTTAAAATTATTTAAAATAAATGTTTATCGCGTAAATATTTTATTTACAATTAGTGAAAAGATTTTTTTCTACGTGAATTTTCTTTTGACGACTGCTAAAAAGATTTATTTTACATAAATAAAGATTTTTTATCACGTAAATTATTTTTTACTAATTGTAAACGATACACTGTAAACTGCTATTTACGTTAAATAGTTTTATAATATGTTATTTATTACCATTTTTGAAAAAAGAATAGAAAAAAAACCTTCAAAATAAGCATCGGCATTAAGACACTCAATTATGTAAAATGGTCATCAATATGGTGGGAATATGCTAACAAAGACCCATATCATCTACAATGGAATTGAGAGTGGGTTTAAAAGGACTTGAGCTACTCTTTTTTTATAGGTTAAACTCTTAGGTTGGAACCCCAAGATCAAGGAGCGGCTTTGGAGCCAAATTCCATATGTAATCTTGTGTATGCCCATGAAGAAGCCTCGGAGAAAGAAAAAATTATCGAACTTACTCTTAAAGTGTACGAGTCTAGATTTTTATTCTTTACTTTTGATTTATATTTATTGACTAACAGTTATTTAACTAAAAAATATGTTAATAAAAAATAAATAGTAAAAATTTAAACCCATACACTTTAAAGGGTATTTATTTCCTTCCTCTCGGAGAAAGTCCAATAAAGAATGATGACCCCTGGAGTTAGAACGCGATGATGAGGAAAAACCCTTGCAAAAACAATCTCCAAATATGAAAATTTCATGGTAATTACACGTGGCACAAGCGTAGTGGAGACCTTGATGGATGGACGGATGACTGGCCCCCTTTGAACCACTGCAAGCGTAGAGCGTTCCCAGTTTGAGCATAGAGGTCTCCGAGTGAACCAAAGTCTCCATCAAAACAGGCCGGTAACCCGGTAGTCTACCATGTCACTTGTTGGACAAAAATCAGGGAAAAGCCAACAAAAATCAGGGAAAAGCCAACAAAAATCAGGGAAAAGCTTCAACAGTCCACAGTAAGATTTATTCCTTCGGACGACAATTTATCTGTAATTGTATTACTTTATTCCAAAAGTATGGAAAAAATGAAATTCATCTTCCTAAGTTTATCATGATGAAATCCAAATAAAAAAAAAATCATAGTAATAAAGAATTGTAAGGTCAGTCAAGAACTGAACCATGCATATAAAGAAATAATTAATTGAGCGGCAATTCTACTTCTTATATCATAATCAATTTGAATTGCTTTGATAATTCCAAACGCACCAAAAAGTGTGATAGGATGCGTTATATTTTTTATTTATTCTCGAATGCATAATGCTATTTCAAATACTAAATCTATTCTTTTTTTTTTTTTTTTTACAATAACCACTAAGTTTTGAAAGTTGTAAAAACAAACTTTTAATTTTAAAATTATTTTCAAATGTAAAAATTACAATGATTAAATGAAATAACAATCAAATGCCAAATTTATCATATATTATATTTTGTGACATATTTGCTATATAATATAGCATATAAAAAATTTAGCATAACAAATGATACTAAATTAGAGAGTGTTTTTTTTACTCTACTTAAATGCTAAATTTGTTTTGGCACATAAATTATTAATTGCATTGATACGGCAACTATGAGGATGTAATGTATTATCACGCTTGAAATTTCCTTAAGGAGATCTTGTAGCGAGAAATTGTTCTCATTTAAGTAATGAACTCCTTGGCACTACTCAGTTAAATTTTTCAGAAAGAGAATATTTATGTACTAAGTTCATTTTACAACTCAAATCATAACTCAAGTTCTATTATTGTAGTGTTTTCTCTAACAAAAATTCAAATTTAACTTTTCTACTAAGGTATTTTTCTCTTATATACACAATTCAAATTTTAAACTTGAACTGTGAAATGAACAAACCCTAAAAGTTGCTCGGGTGAAATATTTTGTCACTAATTAGGGTGCGCTCGCAAACGTCAATAGATAGCCCCAGCAAAACTTTTCAGTGTCAATACTTGTCCTAAGTTATTTTTGGTGAATAATTTGACTATATAAATTTCACGTGGTCATTGTTATTATTATTATTGTTATTATTATTGTTATCATTATGATTATTGTTATGATTATTATTATTGTTATGATTATTATTATTGTTATGATTATTATTATTATTATTATTATTATTATTGTTATTATTATTATTGCTATTATTATTATTATTATTATTATTATTATTATTATTATTTTACGGAAGCGTCTGATTGTGTTTAAATCTTATGAAGCACTGATGTAAACATAAATTATTATTATTATTAGTATTATTATTATTATTATTATTATTATTATTATTATTATTATTATTATTATTATTGTTATTATTATTATTATTATTATTATTATTATTGCTAAAATGAGTTATCTCGAGGAATTTTTTTCCTCACGAATATTTGCAATTATCTTTTCATTCGCATTTTCATTCATACAATGGTACCATCGGGCTGCAAAAATTTTTGGAGACTTTGAATAATTTTTCGTCAGGAATATTTGTGATTTTCTTTTCATACGCATTTTCATTCATTAAATGGGGTTACAAAAATTTTTGGACACTATGAATAACAACTCATCAACGTTCTGAGATTATTGAGGGCAATGATCAAATCTTCCAAAGAATTTTCATCACTCCAATCTCAATTGAATTGGCTTCTCTAATTCAAATTTCCAAATCAAATTCAACAAGAGTATATATATATATATATACACACACACACACACACACACATATGTATACGATCAGCGCATAATGTGTTTATTTATTTATTTATTTATTTTTCTTACTACCTAAAACTTTATTCTTTGACATTGCATTGCATTATTCACTTCCAAAAAAGTGCATAGTATTCATTATAAAAAGAAATTCGAGATGGAAATATGAAGAATATTTTTATTAATTATTGTTGTTGTTATATCATTTATGCTACACAAAACACAGATCCAATTTATCGTTTTAGGTAGAATCATGAACAGTTCAGCGTAAAAGGTTGAAAGGTTCTTGCCGCTGAGTTGTCCAATTATATATATATAATAAAAGTAAACACGACTAAATTAATGAACGTGTTAGCAAATAAAACAAAGACTAAATTGATAAACGTTTTAGAAAATAAACAATGACTAATTAAAACCTTCTAGTTCATCTCTTATTCCAGTCTGTTTCCATATGTAGTTCTTCACAAAAGAATAATATTATAAAGGGTAACTCCCAAAAACTTTGCAGGAACAAAGCACGCACTCATGATACATTACATATACATCAACATCATCGAGATACTAGATTGAATTACAAATTAAATCATCGTATATGTTTTAATTTCAAAAAACAATTTGAAATAAAAAAAAAAGATCGTCTTTTTTAGACAAATTTTGTGGTAAAATATATATAGAAGATATCATATTAGTAGTACATGTTTCTGAAGTATCAGATGTGTTGCCAAATTCTGATGCGATAAGTCTAACGTTCAGAAACACGGACTACTGATAGGGGTTTAATTCCTACTTACGCGCCACAAAAGTCCTCGTTTTATTACGAAAATTAGAAATCTATATCCGATCCACCATTTTAGTTTGGACGAGTGCAATCAATTCGAATTTCTCCTTTCCTTCCAGTAAGAACTCCAACTCTTCCTAGCTTGGTAATGGCGGTAATGAAAGCCTGGTTGAAGGCCGTCGAATTCGACGCGAATTCGTCGACGGTTGCCTTTGATCTCTGATCAGTGAACAATACCTGATCAGAGGATAAAAGCCCTTTTCCTTGCTGAAGGTTTTTGAAGTAAGCATTGTCGAAGATCCTTGGTGTTGTGGGGTCCATGTCGATGGCTATTCTGGGGTCCACTTTTAGGGGGCACATTTGTCTGAGCTGCAACGCGTATTTTCTGTTGAGTGCAGGGTCAATTGTCGTTTTAGTTCCTGGGCTGAAGTTGTATATTCGTTTCGAGAATTTGCTGCAATGAGAGAAGCCTAGGGTGTGAGCACCTGTAGATACCAACGATATGTTAGGGATACGATATCGATTAAGAGAAATACTAATTTCAGAGCATTAATTGAAAACAATTAATTTCAAAACAAAGCGTATGATAGAACGAGTTTTTAATGATTACGTTTCCTTTGATAGCCACACATTAAATATAAAAATTTAGTAACGTGGCTTGATAATTATTCAATTTCATTAATTGTCATTTTTTTTGTCAACTATCTAATTTATTATAATCGTAGGATCAATATTTTATGATCAAAATAAGAATATTTATTGATGAGTAAATATTATACTAACTATCATGTGTATATATATATATATATAGAGAGAGAGAGAGAGAGTTTAAAATTATAGAATACTATCGCATCCCAACTAAATAGACATGCCTTGTAGTAAATCTCGTCCTATTTCAAAGCATCATTTTATAATATAAAAAATTGATAACACAAAGTAAAAGTAAAAGTTAAAGAACAAGCTAGTGATCAAAAGAAAAATAATGGTCAATTGCGTAGTTGTATCCTCGAATCCGGGATTATCCCTGCTTTATTCATGAATTTTAAAAACTCTTATTTTAATTCCTAAATTTTAAATCATTCTCACTTACAACTTCTATTAGAACTTTTGTTAAAAAATGAAGGAAGAAAAAACGGAGAATTAATCTCACTTAACTCCTTCTAAAAAGTTGACTTTACTTAAGCCCTCTTATTTTGTCTATTTCTAATGAAAATTCCAACAGAAAACATTAAGTAAGACTAACTAAAAATTCATGTGGTCAAGTGGAAATTTTTAAAGTTCTTGAGCCAATACCTGTAAAATTGGTGAGCGAATGAGAATAATATTCCAAAAAAATAATAATAATAAAGCCTAAAAACTTTCAAACACGTTCTGAAACAAATCAGAGAAGAATAATTCTGACAAAATTTGTCATATGTATTATTACACATGCTTTATGAATTGATATGGCAAATATTTGTTGCATAATATTTTAAAAAATTAGAGCAAACAAACTAAAGACATGTCAACCACGTAACCTTTAAACCTTTGTATACTATATATATATATATATATATATATATATATATATGGGTGAGGTTTTAATGGTTAAGTAGAAGACTTTTTCGTAGCTACCTGATAATGCAATCATATCTCTTTGCGTAAGACCATTAGCGGCAAACATGGAATTGAGTTGGTCTAAATTAAATTCTGGTTTGGGAAGATGCCTTTGAACGCTGCTTATAGTAGATATTCTCACATCACGCCTTCCCAATTCCACTGTATAATTTGGTCCCCCGGTCTGCATATTTTTATAATTAATTAATCCATATATCTTAATACTTTAAGTTTTAAAAAAAAAAATCTAATTTTGTATATATAGCTGTAAAACGCTGTTTTACATGTGAGAGTGCTTTGTCCTTTTGTCATATATACTTGGAGTAGTTACACAATTATATGTGTGTATATATATACACACACGCTAAAAGTAAAGTTCATTTGGCATCTGTTCATGTTGTTTTTTCAACTTATTTGAAAATGTATTAAAATTTTCAAAATATAACATTCTTAGTTTATCACCAAAAAATAAAGAGGATAAGTTAACAAATAGTGTGTGTGTATATATATATATATATATATATATATATTAGCTGTCCATACCAAAACTACGACATCTCTCGTGGCGAGGGCAAGTATATCGGCACATGAAACTTGGTTCTTGCAGCGAGCGTCTTGGTCAAGAGCTGCCTTGGCTTTGATCACAGTGTCAAATCCATCTCCGGCGAGGGAAAGGTTATCTGGATGATCCTTCTCTGCCTTGCTATCCGGCGACGCAAGCATAACCGAAGCGTCGCAGCCCTGTACTTATTTTCGGAAAATTAGACAATATTGTAATTAATGTTATAATTAGGAATAACTAGGAATTCATGCTTGATTGCATGAGCAGAATCAACCAATTATGTTTTTGTTTTTGACCAATCACATATCCACGTAGTACTTGTCTTTATAATATTATTATACACGTAAATTCTCGCAGTTAAAAACATAAATTATACGTAAAAAACACGAATGTCCTTGTATTTGTAAAGGCAATTAGACCACTAACCCGAACGAAGCAGTCGTGGAAAAGGAGACGAAGAGTGGCCGGAGCAGTCACAAACGTCTGCTGAAACTTATTCGCGACGACTTGGCTAACGATCGATTCGACATTAGGGCATGTGTTTTTGTAGAAATCGGTACTAAGTTGCGCTTGAACTCCAGTCATTGCAAGGACAAAAGGAACAGTTAGAAGAGCCAAAACAAGAATATTGAAGCTTCTAGTTTCCATATTTTTCATGTAATATATAGCAATGTATACAATTTATGTCCAAATATTATGTTTTCACGTCTGGTTTGTTGAAGGCCTATTTATAGAGGGAAAGTTTGGCGAACAAGAAATTAACAAGAGTATCGACAAATTGATATTGTTTGGTTGGAACAAAAGAATAATTCTCTGCTTGTACAACCTGGCCAATATATAATATTTCTAGTCTCTTTTGAAATATAGAACAAGTTGATCAATTTTCATGTGATCTAGCCAGAAAACGAGTTTTTTTCTACATAGAAATGTAAGCGAGGTTTCGATAATGATTGGACCGCCGAAAATACACACACACACACACACACATATATATTTATAAAGGTTGAATGTATTCGTTTTATTATGGTGTGTATGGTAAGATCACAGACTAAATTAATATACATTAAAAAGATTACAACTATATTTATTTGCTGTTTTTGTATATTTATGTCAAAATACAGCTATATATTTTACATGCACAATCACATTTGCGACTGTCAGTTATTATGCAATATTCTTAGTTGTATTATTATGTCAAGATTCACACGCACTCACGCATATATATATACGCATATATATATATATATATATATATATATATTAGGGTCGGCACCACAATTATCACCGTACACATAAACAACATTTGGAGAAAAAGATCAACTCGAATCGACTGAAATTAACTGGAGACCAAATCGACTCAAAACAACTGGAGAAGACTGACGACAAGAAGAGCGTAGTGACCACCGCCAATATTTAAGCAAGGAGATTCCTTGGAGGCCACAAAGATTATCTCAGCCAAATCCTACATTAAAGGGTCAAATCATATCAATAATAAAGAGGAAATATCCCAAGAAGATAATATGGAAACAAGGAAATGGAAAGTCAACCGAAGGAAAAAGAGAAACTATCCAATCTGAGAGAAAATGAAACTAGAAGGTCATCTCCTATAAATAGGGGATGAGAATAACGACCAAGACATTCCAAACGATCCTCATATTACGCTCAGACCCTCTCTCTAGATTCTCTCTCCTTCTTCTTCTCCAATTCTCACAAAAGCATTGTAATTGTACTATTTTCATTACATAGTGAAACCCCCGAGACCCAGTGGACGTACTCTGAGATTATCAGGGGAATCACTATACATCCGTATGTCATTTTATTTTCCAGCACTTTATATTCTCGTTCTAGCGATATATCGACTCAAATCGACTCGAATCGACTCACCAATGTGATCGACTCCCACTACAACAAAAAAGCTTATTTGCGACGATGGAATGTCGTCGCAAATAACTGTATTGTCATTGCAAATATTTTATTTTTGACGAAATGTCGTCGCAAATTAGTCGTCGCAAAACACCTGACGCAAATAATATATTTGCGACGATAAATTTTTTAAATGGCGTCGCTACAGTAGTCGGAATAAGTCGTCACAAATACTCCATCGAATATGTCGTCGATGATGATGTGTCCTAACTTATTTGTAACGACTACCTATTGTCGCAAAAGTATTTAAAACCTTTTGTGACCACAGGCTTCAAAGTGTCGTCACTAGTAATGTAGACTATTTGTGACGACAATTTAGATATGTCGTCACAAATATTTTGTTTCTTTTTTTTACCGTACTTTACTAATAATATTCATTATTAAATATATAAATTAGAAAAAACTTAATAATAAAATAAAACAATAAAATTGATAGTTATTAATAAAAGATTGACATATAATAGTCAACATAATAACAAGATCAGTCTTAAAAAGTAAATTAATTAAGAAATACTAAAAATGTTGATAAAAAAAACATATATTTTAATCTCTTAAATTAGCAGCATCATCATCCTCGTCCTCATCTTCTTCGTTTAGCTCAAGCGGCGGAGGAACTAACGGTTGGAGACGGTTAAGTGGCAAGAAGTTGATGTTGGGATTCATCAAGCGCATGGCTTCCATCATGATCTATTGATTGTCGAACATGTTGCATTAACAGGTTTTAATAAAATTTCGGCAGGATAACGACTTATTTTTCTTATTATCCAAAAATTCAAACCTGTAAAAAAACAGCTTTTAAAAGATTTCAGCACACCATAACTGCAAGATGTGCCACTCAAAACAATCATCAAAAATGTTAATCTTAACCTAAATCAAATTACAAGCAGATTTCATACAATAACACCATAAGAAATTCACACACACTTATACCAAATTTCAACAATCTCAAAATTCATAATTCAAAATTCAATATCTATAATCCAAACTTCAAATTGTATACTAATTCTAAAATCTATAAATCAAAATTTAAAATCTAAAATCTATAATACAAAATTCAAACAACAAAAAATTCAAACATTTTAAACTAAAAAATATAATAAATAAAAAAAAAAAAAAAAAAAAAAAAAAAAAAAAAAAAAAAAACTTACAAAGTTCAAACCCACTAAAACGGGGGCTGAAAATGGAGAAATTAGTTGGGGCAAACGGCGGCGGCAACGGCGGTGGTGGCGGAATTTGGCGGCGAGGGTAGGGAGTTTGTTTTTTATACTTCTGTTGATGAAAAGACAATGAAAATGATTAAAACTTATGCTAAATGTTGATTTGGTGAAAATTTATAAGGGAATAGGGGGGAGGTTTTGAGGGCTTAGGGTTGGAAAACTGGGGAGAGGCAGAGAGAGAGAGAGAGAGAGAGAGAGAGAGAGAGAGAGAGAGAGAGAGAGAGAGAGAGAGAGAGAGAGAGAGAGAGAGAGAGAGAGAGAGAGAGAGAGAGAGAGAGAGAGAGAGAGAGAGAGAGAGAGAGAGAGAGAGAGAGAGAGAGAGAGAGAGAGAGAGAGAGAGAGAGAGAGAGAGAGAGAGAGAGAGAGAGAGAGAGAGAGAGAGAGAGAGAGAGAGAGAGAGAGAGAGAGAGAGAGAGAGAGAGAGAGAGAGAGAGAGAGAGAGAGTGATCGGAAAAAATGGAGGAGGAGGCTCTAGTCGCGAGTATATAGATAGCGTTTTTTGCGACGACATGTTCGTCACAAATATAACTTAATAAGTATTTGCGACGATAATGTCGTCACAAAAATTACTTAATTATTTAATATTTATAACGAATGTTCTGGAATTATTTTTTGTGACGACATTGTGCATTGTCGTCGCAATTAGTTTTTGGAAACCACCCAATTTTCCCGCCGTTTATTTTTCACGAGGGAATAGAATGTCAACATTTGCGACGACACATATTAGTGTCGTCGCAAATAATTTTTGAGAACTGTCAAATTGACTGCCTTTTTACTTGGGGAACAATAAATAAATGAACAATTATTTCCGACGACACGACCTCGCAAATAATGTTATTTTGGCAACAAACATTGGCGCCAATAGACATTTACCGCCAACTACATATTTACGACGACAAGTGAATTATTAGCAACAACAACATTCTCCTGTTAAATGATAAATAATTACGACGACATTTTATCACAAATAATTTATTATGTGCGACCACACATGTTGTCGTAAATAATGTCGTCACAAATTAGACAAATGATAATAGTGATCCCCAAAGCGGCCATTAACCCGCTAAATAAATTTAATTGTGGAATCGACATCTATAATATCATTTAGGGAATATATTACTTTCATGGTATCTCAGTACATATAGAAGAGGACAATCAAGTGGTCTGTCCTTCTTGCTGCTTCTTTTTCTCTTTTTTTTTTTTTTTCCAAACACAAAAATCCTGGTAGTTTAACGCTCTAGACTTCTCAATACTTTACATGTAAATAGAGATGTTTCAGGTCTTCCGAATAATCACTACTACATGATTAAATATAAAAAATTTTTAGGCGCTCTATCTAATGGGACTTCATCCATTTCAGTTTTATTTTATTTTTTTAGTGCTTTGCTTTTTATTTTTCAGTAGTACTATTGTTCCTTCGGTGGTTCTTGTTTGAGATTTTCCTTCCTTTTTCTTTTATTTTAAGTAGCAATATTCTTGATACTTAATAGTGTTTTTTTAGTGGGTGCACTAGTTGAAAAGTTTTAAATGTATATGCAAATATATAATGATTTTATTTTTGCTCAAAATATACATGTCATTTGTAATGAAATAAAATGAGCTAACAGGCGCCCATCGTTTTTCATAATTCGAATCACTAACTTAGATTTTTTGCTACAATTATCTTCTCTTACAAAAATTTAAATTCAATTTTTTTATTATAATATTTTGTATCACATAAATTCACTTTTTAATTCAAGTCTTATACTTCTTATATTAATATTTCATAAATTTTGTTGGTAATTTCCTATTATTTCGTAGAGTGATAAAAATGTTTCAAACTGTTCCTATGTTGCATAAATTTTTTTGTTTTTTTTTGTTTTTCAACCCAATTCGATGTTAGTGCCTACCAACTCCTATCTGTCACTATCAGTCTGATCTTGGCCAAAATACATACTTACACACGCACACGCTTTCCTTCAGTTAAGAATTTAATTAAGGATTTGCAATTCTAAATTTTGATTAATAATAGTGTCATATATAATTAATGTATTTCTTTTGAATAGGCTTAAAGAACCAACTGACGTGCTTATACGTATCAGAAAAGTCAAAATCTTAAAGCTAGCTATAGGAAAGTTCATTACTTGTTTCTTTATAAACAAGTGGGATTTAGTTATAGTGTTCATTGAATTATAAAATTGCCACCCAAAGATTTTTACTAAATCTATTAGTTTATTCGGTGGAAGATACATTAGTACATTATCGCAATATTTAAGAAGATAAAAATTCATTCATGATAGGAATTTGATATTATCTTATTTCTCCCAAAATGGAACTTTAATTTAATTACTAAATTTCCAATCACTGTGGTAGTTTTATGATTTATGTATATATATATATATGATATAATTGTTCTTATCTATACTCTATACGGTTCAAGTTCTTTAATCTCATGAATATGAAAAATGAAATGAAGATTCTATAGTTTCAGTTTTTTTTCTTCCTCTTTTTTTACGAAGATCAAAATATAGGATATTA